ATATATTTTGTCAACAGAATGATAATTATAAAATGTTTTCATTTCCTAGTCATGTGCTTAATTACAATTTAAAAAGAATGAACAAACATCTATATACAAAAAGAAATAAATTTTATGTCAATTACATACAAGATATATCATTTTAATTGACGCATTCAAATATCTCTTGAACAGTGCATTTTAAAGAAAAATGTTTCAGACAAAAGTTACATGGTTTTGAGGGGGACATAAGATGATGCTACTGGTTTGACATTGGAAAGTTGTTTGAAGGTTACGTAAAGGTGATCATCAATTTCTTAAATGGAATCCCATATATTTCATTACATATTCTTGTAGCTTACCTCGAGAGCTTTCCAAAACACTATAATTAAGTTTATTTTCATTAAGTACTTTTCAAGTTATAAGGCTTGCAAGTTACAGCACCGCCAGCATTTAAGCATTACCCAAGAGTCCGATCGACGGCTAAAATCTCTTAAATGTTCAGGATCATGATCTGGATAATATTTGTCAAGATCAAGGCCATTGGATGTTGTTCCTCTTATTTTCATTTTTACGTAGAAATGTAATTTTTAGTGCAAAAATGAAAATAAGAGGAACAACCTCCAATGGCCTTGATCTTGACAAATATTATCCAGATCATGATCCTGAACAACATTCATCAAGAGATTTTAGCCGTCGGTCGGACCCTTGGGTAATGCTTAATGCTGGCGGTGCTGTAACTTGCAAGCCTTATAACTTGAAAAGTACTTAATGAAAATGAACTTAATTATAGTGTTTTGGAAAGCTCTCGAGATAAGCTACAAGAATATGCAATGAAATATATAGGATTCGATTTAAAAAATTGATGATGATCTTTACGTGACCTTCAAACAACTTTCCAAGGTCAAACCAATAGCATCTTATGTCCTCTTCCAAACCATATAACTTTTGTCTGAAAAATTTTTCTCTAAAATTCACTGTTCAAGAGATATTTTAGTGCGTCAATTAAAATGATGCACCCCGTATATACAGAGTGAATCAGAGTCGTTGAACCAATTCTACCCTATCAGAAAATTATCGACTTCATACCTAATTGAATTATAACGTGTGCAGTCAATTATTTTCTCATAGGGTAAAAAGCTTTAACGACTCTGATTCACTTTGTATTATATATATATTTTTTTTTATGTAAATTGTTACAACTGTATATGTCCAATTTAAGTTAGATAGCAGACCTTTTTTTCAATGATTATCCGAAAGAATATGTTAATTAGAATATTTATGTAAAACAGAGTGTTATGTGATGTCTAATCATCATCATATATCAGCATATATACCTATTTTATAAGTTCATATATGTATAGTATAATAAAATAATACTAGTTTGTTACATTTTATTATATAATTATAATGTATATTCTCGACTCTGATTTTTTTCTCAGTCAGATATTCAAACCATTAATACATAAGTATCAACATTTGTATCCTGTAGTGTTCTATAATAAGATTAATCGGCGTGCAAATGATCTCTGACACATGACCATATTTTAAGTTCATAAATATGAAATAAAAAACATAAAAATCGTTAATGAATCTTTGTTTAAAGCAATTAATAACGATATTTATGATTAATTTTTTTATTGCTAAATATTGTATCATTATATCATACTGTTTTATCTTAAATAGTTTTATAAAAAAATATTATATGTATAAGCCGAACATGTTTCTTGTTCTCTAAATGTACTAAATAACTATATATTATGAAGTTATTAATTTATTTAAATGACAAATTGTAAAAATAAAGATATAAAAAAATATGTACGTGTGCATCATTTTTATTCAACAATTATTATTCTTCCAAAATATATGTGGAATTTACATTAATATATTTTGTTATAATCGTAGCATTGCATGCAATACTTAAATGATAAAAATGAAAATTTTGCCATAACATTATTGATCACGCGCGCATTTCGAACTTCTTTTTTTTGTACAATAATAATAAGTAATCAATCAACTGATATGTGAATAATACAATTAATAAGCGAGAAGAGTCTTATATTAATTCTATTTTTGCGTGATTTTTACAATAACTAAAAATTGCAATATGTATATTAAGAATTAAGATCTGCTTCGACCGCGCGAATAAGATGTTTTCTCTTATTTGTAGTGGAAAGGCTCCTATTCCCAGTCAGAAATGATAATGGAATCGACATCGAATCGATGTCGATTCTATTATCATTTCTGACTGCCCAGATAGCACAGTAACGTTTTAAAAATGCACTTAAAACGTACACGTTGGACGTTTTGGACATATTAAAAACGTACACGTTGGACGTTTTGGACATATTAAAAACATTCAGATTAGATCCATGGACATTTTAAAAACGTTTCAAAAACATCCAGTGTTACCATTTTGAACTTTTTAAAAACGTCCATTTTAGGAATGGACTAAAACTGGACCAAATTAATACATTAAACAAATTTTAGACCATAATCAATACAAAATGATTCTTATATGAGTATTATTATTGATTAATATCTTATTCCATAATACGCATCATAAAATTATAATTAAAAAAAAAAAACGTTTTTCCCTGAATTCGGGAACCTATTTCATGGTGCTTCGAAGCGATCACCCATCCGGTTACATACCGCCATCCACTATGCTTGACACTTCTGAAATCGTATGGAAACCGCTACACTTCGATGATCCACGAATACCTATATAATCATGGATGTATAATTACGATACATCTGTTCAATATAGTCCTAATAGAAATTTCTGCAGTTCAACTGAATATCCAGTCAATTACTGTCTAATATTTAATCTTAATGTTATTACGACTATTTTCAAGTTAGGAAATCATACGCTGTACTTTCACAATACCAGTTATCATATACAGTAACAGTATGATAGCGATTTTTTGTGAGGATATCGTGGAATATCGCACGCTTGGTTATCTGGGTAGATTTTTCATCGTTGAAAATTTTCATCACAGCACAGATGTCCTAGGGACGTCCATAGGACGTTCAAAAGATGTCCGTACATACTAACAAAAGTGAAATTCCTCGTGCGGTCTTAAAAAATTTTTCACTTGTCAAGTCAGCGAAAGCAACACGTCGCGAGCAGATTTAGAAAATTTTTTGTATTAGATAAATATTATTTAAATGTCCAAATGTGAATATACTTTGTACGTTGAATTAGTTTTTACGGGCAGAATTTAAAAACCTAATAGATCATTTTGAAGGAAATTTAATAAGCTTTGCGGTAATGTTATATAAAATTTAATTCAAATTTGATTTTTTTTTTAAATTAAAGAAATGTTTTTTATATGTAAATTATGAAATATTGTAAGATTTGTATAAAAGAATCAGAAATTTTCTAAGAAGTTATAAAATTATACAGAAATTCTAAAAATTCTGAAATTTACATTAAAATTATGGAAAATTATATAAAAAATTGAAAAAAAATTTTATGAACCTGATGGAAATTTTTCCCAGATCTTTCATATCATTTTTAAGTGCTTTAAAACATTTGTAGCATTGCGTTAACCGTATCCTTTATAATGCATCTTAGGCATTCTGCGACTCTTGTAGATCGGGCTTAAATGAATACTACTGTCTATATCGAATAATTCTAATAAAATTAAAAAATTAAAAAGATCCAATTATGTAATTGCAAAAAATGTAATCTAGCTTCTATCAAATTTCTTTTTATTGAGTATTAAATGATACACTATATATTTTGTGTGAAATAATTATTACAAATAAGACGCAAAAAGTACAATTAATAAACTTAATATATCTCTAAATTTAAGAAATTTTTTACAAAGATGTGAAGACAATGGAGTAAATAACGACTAAAATCTTAAGAATTAAGTAATTAAACAATGGATGCATTCGGAACGACAACCACTCACTGAGCATTCAATGAGCTCTTAGATTTGATTAGTCTACATTTTAGGATCTAAAGGAATATGCCAATCAAGTGAAAGAGCTCATTGAGTGCTCAATAGGTGCATCAAGAAGTACGACCGATCATTGAGTGCTCAGTGAGCTCTTGTACCTGTTTGGTCTATATTTGTAGATCTAACGGAATATGCCAATCAGATGCAAGAGCTCACTGAGCGCTTAGTGAGCGGTTATAGTACTGAATGTACCTATTGGTCGGTATTCATAGTCAGATCTTATATTTAAAACCGTCTTAAGTAATGTCTTAAGATGCTAGTGCAGTTCTCTGATTGGTTCATGACATCTCAAGATTGTACTTAAGATGGTCTTAAATATAAGATCCGACTATGAATGGTCGCGTTCAGCAGACTCAACTATTGTGGAGCGAATCCGTGAGCGCTCGCTACTATTGGATGATCTAGAAGAATACACCAATAGCAGGGAATGTTCATGGATCTGCATTGCCACCCTTTATTGTCATTCTGAATACATCTAAATGCACCAAATAAAACATACAAAAGGATTTTTTTTTTTTTAGCTGAACTTTTGCACCAATTCATCTTTCTTTCTTTTCTCTTTAGGAGGAAAGAAGAAGAAGAAAGATGGTGCAAAAGTTCAATCAAAAAGAACAGGCCTGTTATGAGCAAATAGGTATATATACAGGGTGTTTGGCGACTACCGCATTTTTTGTCATACGTGAGTAGAACAGCCTATACTGAATCAAAAAGTCCTGTACCATTTTGAGGTGTCAGCAATAGTTAAC